AGCAGGTTTAGGATCAACATTATAAAGATCGAAATAAGAAAAAAAACTCGCAATATCTAAGAGCAGCTGCCCTAATAAAGAACAAATAAATAGACACTGCCATGACCCAAAATAAATTGTAATCGGGTTTCAACAATCCTACTCAAAAATCAAATCTTTACTGATCTCACAAACACAAATTAATAAACAAGAAACTGTTGCAAATATTACCTCGAACAATTAGATTGAGCAGTAGAAATTACTTCAAGATTCCAGCTTCCACGAAAGCACCACTTCCCATATACTTCACATATTATATTTCAGAAATAAAGAAAAAAGAGCATTTTTTAAGAAAACAGATTTCACTCGAAATAATCAAAGAAAATGGTAACAATTGAGGAAGATGACGTCTTGTTCTGTTGGAGAGGGGAGATGGGAAAAAAAGGGCTGCATCTTTTTGGGTAGGATAACCGAGGGCCCGAGGACGGAAATTGTGACGTGCTAGTTGCTAAAATGCGCTCAGAATGCGCACATTGTTTTGGCCACATACAACTTGGAAGAGGAAAAAAAGGAAATGTATTTTGTAGTTATGGTGAAAAATATAATAGATGCATCTCACATCTCAATAGGTTTGTGTTAGATTTGAATTATTTGTTTTCTCGATATGTATAAAAGATGTGTATGATCTTTTTAGTATAAATATGTTTCTTGACTTTATGTTATAATTTTTATTCTCTCATATTTTAAAGAAAATCTTTTATTTAAGGAAATCCTAATTTGTGGGTTACGTAACCCTAGTTGTATTTTGTGGTGATTTTAGTGAATTTGTCGTTGCGGTTGGCGTTGTCAAGAGACGTAGGTAATATTGGCCGAACTTCGTTATCAATTTTTGTGTTCTTTTTATTTCTCGTCTTTTATTTATTTGTGTTGACTTATTTTTGTTAGTAGTAGTGGTTGCCATATTTCTTATAGGGGTATTTTTGTTCGTTGTGCTTGTTGTTCTACCCCAACAAGTGGTATCAGAGCCAAAGGTTCGTCCTAGGCTCATTGAGAGAGGCGAGCACTGCATTCGAGGTCCAGATGTCTAAGAAGATCAAGGGCGCATCATCATTTGCAATCATTCCGGCATGATGTCGAACATCAGACTCTCGGTGGAGATCTTCAATGGGATAGGTCATTTCAGCATGTGGCAAGGCGAGGTGGTGGATTGTCTATTTCAGCAAAGCATCGACATTGCAATTGAAGAAGAGAAGCCAACCGATGTTGATAAGAAGGACAAAAAGAATATCAACCGCTTAGTATGTGGAACAATATGTTCGTGTTTGTCAAGGGAGCAGAAGTACGCGTTCAAGAATGAAAACTCCGCTCACACTCTGTGGAAGGCTTTGGAGGATAAATTTCTTAAGAAAAGCGGTCAGAATAAGCTCCTCATGAAGAAGCGATTGTTCCGATTTGAGTACCGGCATGACACATCGATGAATGACCATGTCACTGCATTCAATCAGTTGGTTTCAGATTTATTGAATTCGAACGTCACATTCAGCGATGAAGATTTGGCTCTAATGTTGTTATCATCACTTCCAAACAACTTCGAGCACTTGGAGACTACTCTGCTCCATGGGAAGGACGATGTAACTCTTGCAGTGGTTAGTTCTGATCTGTATAGCTATGAGTTGAGGAAAAAGAACAAACAAGAGACGAAGAATGCAGTAGTAGAAGATGAAGCATTAGTTGCAAGAGGTTGGTCGAAGAGCCAAAAGAAGAATAGACGAGGAAGATCACGTTCCAAGGCCAAGCTTAAAAAACACGAGTGTGCTTTTTGTTATTAAAAGGGACACTGGAAGTGTAGCGCCCCGTTCGATTATTGGATTTTATGTGATTTTATGGTATTATTTTATTTTAACTATTTATGATTATTTCTCGATTAAAGCCATCGTATTATATTGTCTTAAAGATGATATAACGTTCCGTTCAATTTAATTTAATTAAGTCGTTCAAAAATTCGGTTTAAAATGGACCAAGGATCGATTTTTATCTACACATATTGACCGAACCAAGCCAAAGTCAAACCGGGGTTAAACCGGACACTTAGAAATATTTTCTAAGTCATTTGGCCCTAAAAAGTACACCATGCCGCTCTCAGCCCGCGCACCCGCTCCTCTGGTCAGCCGCCACCCTTCTCCCTCCCAAAAGCCCCTCCACCGTACGCCACCGCACCCACAAAGCATTTCGACGCACACGACGACCAATCCCTTTGACCTCCAGCCTCTGTTCGAGAGCCCCACGACCCGCAAAGAGCCAGCCGCTGCCGTCCAAGGCGGATCCGACCTCCGGCGAACCGAGCCCTGCCGCCGAGCCGTCCCCTGCGCGCGCACCGAGCCCGATCCCCTTTCCCTTGTACTCCTTTGAGCCGTCCTTCTTGAATTATATGAAGTTGATGATTTATGTGGAAAATAAGTTGAATATATGCATGTTTGATTGAGTTTCGATGAGTTCTTGTTAGATCCATGTTCAAAATGTGAAATCCTGTGGAATATAGAACCTAGGATCTTAACCGTTTGAAAAAGGGTTTGGATGATTTGGCCTTATAAATTTTGAGATTTGGATTTTTGAATCCAATCTAGATCTGGAATTTTGTAAAATCGAGATCTAAATAAATACTCGGGCTTTTGATCTAAAATTGTGAGGGATAAAACCTCTGTGATTGATGTGCTTTGTGTAAAATTTTCAAGTGAAAACTCAAAGAATAACCTGTCGAACTTGTGATTTCAAATTCTGGTCAGATTATTGTAAAATCTATATAAAATTGAGTTTCGATTATTTTGATTCGATCTTCTGGGAACCTTAATAGTTTGGTTTGATCTCTGTTGTGTCCAAACTTCAAATGAAAATTTGATCGTTTCCAGGAGAACTTAAAACCCTAGATTATGTCTTTCTTTTGCAAAAATGAGTTAACGGAGTTAATTACATTTTTAAGGGTTGATCTCTGGTGCGTGTATGTGCTTTTGGGTCTTTGTTAATGTGGTAAAATTTCATAAAGTTTGGTCGAGTCGATTTTAAAAAGGTTCGGTGCTTTCAAATTTGTTGTCTGTTTTCCCTAGTCCTCTATCCCTGGTCTGTCCCGTGCCCAGACCTGGGTCTGTGACCCATCTGTGCGTCCTTTGTGCCTGTTGGTGCGTACCCTGTGCCCTGTGTGCCATCTGTGCTTCCCGTGAGCCGCGACCTAGGTCTGTCAGCGCCTGACCGTGCCTAGGACACGCCCAATGTCCGCCAGCGACCAGGGCCCGTGCCCAGCGACCTGCACAGCGCGCCAGCGCCCCGCGCCACGGTGACCCCGCGTGATGAGAGATCGTGCGTTTGATTGCCGGTCGAGCCATGCGAGCGCCTCGGTCACGAGGATAGGTTCGGTGGTTCACTCGCACGCCCCTTCGAAAGACAATAGCAAAAGAAAACGTAAAGAACTCTAAGACAATGAGTTGAACAAAAGTTCAGTTTTTGTAGTAATTCTTCGATGACGAAAATAACAAGAGCATATGCCTTTATATAGGCTTTAAAATAATTCTAGTCCTAATCAAACTAAACCACTAACAAAAGCAATAAAATATTAAGGATCCTAAATAATCTAGAAAGCATAAAGTAATAAGGAAACTAAAGATCTAGTAGAATCTCAAAGGATCTTGTCTTGTGCGTCACGCCCGAAACCCTAGCCGCCACTCTCGCGCGCCTTGCCTATTGCCTCGAGGACTAAGGCATCGCCGCCTTCGCGCGCGCGTGTTTCCTCCCTATGCGCATCGCCTGTTTCCTCGAGGACTCTGGTTGCGTGTTCATAACCGCCCGCGTGCGCACACGCGGTTCTTCCCTTCGCGCCTTTCGCGCCCCCGACCATTTCGCGCGCGTTGTCTCCCTGCCCGCGCACACCCGTCTCTAGTACGAGCATTTCGCCCATCTTCCATGCTAACCTCTTCCTTGCGTGATAAGCCCGGCTCGCGGCGTTCTTGAGTTGTCGCGCCACGTCTTCATCACCGCACCCCAGCGCGCCAGCCGTGCCCCGCGCCCTAGTGCACCAACGCGTCCCGGCCCGTGCCAAGACCACTGGGCTGCAGCCCGACCAAGCCGGCCCGAGCCCGAACTGGTCCCTTGACCTTGTTTGAACCGTTTTTCTGATTTTTCCAAACCTCTTGACTTCCGTTGACCTGTTTGACCTTATTCTCTCGTTTTTCGTGTTGAGTCAATTTTTAACGTTTTCAAAATTAAGTCCCAAGTCTAGCTTTCAAACTTTGTGTTCCAACTTCCATAGAACTTCACGAACAGCTTAGTTGAAATTTTTCAGCTAAGTATGATCATTCGTGATGTCATTCTATGGGTCAAGATAAAATACTTATGAAGTATTCTTGACTAAATGTAGGTGTTTGACGAGTTGACCTCACAGCCTATGCAGCAGACCGGTGATAGTCCATTCTGCTGAACCAGATGGATTTTATTTGAAATTTTCTATGCAATAAATTGTTGCCTTACGTGTGGTATGATCAGTGTATGCATGTGAATCATGTAGCCTGTTGGTAATATTTTTGGGCAAGTAATAACCGAGTTACCCGACTCGGGTCGTTCTCTAAGGAAGGTTAGCCGGATTAAATTGTATGTTTATTCAATTCACAAAAGAGAAAATATTCCTAAACATTCTAATTCAATTTAATAATGGGGTTTTAAACTAAATTAAAAGTAACATAAATGCTATCATTTTACTCGGAAAACCTTTCAA